TTCTTTTTAAATTTGCTTTTACTGGTCCTTTAATTCTGCTGCTCAGCTCTCAGTCAGCAGAACCTCGACCTCCAAACCAGTAAAGTTTTTCTTCTTCATCTTTAAAGCCATTTCTGAATTAATACATTTTGACAGCGTGGAAAGTCGGAGGTATATATGGCCTTATTTGGAAAGTAATTATCCAGATTTACACTGTCACTCAGACACAGGTGGACAGCATCAGGTTCATGGGGTTAATTTACTAAACATTTGTCGAATCTGATGTGAAACATTCTTAAAGCCCACAGTAGGAGAAAAAGTATTAGAAATTTACAACAAGAATACCAAAATGCTGTTGCTTAGGGCGCAATGAGTGCAGAACTATAATCTGTACTTTCGCTGCCTGAATCTGTAGTGAATTTTTACTTTAAGAAGAAAGTTTTTTTTAAAGTGTTATTGAAAGTGTCATATTCACTGGGACCCATGCTCTGGATGTTTAAGATAAGCAATAAGGCTGCTGTCCTCCATTAAAACCGTTTTATATGTTTTATATATTTGTTATACTGTATATAACGATACGTTATACTGTTATATAGTTTTTTTACTGTCCTTTCAAGGGGTGAGTATTGGCATGGGTGTTGCGATACAATATATGTCACGATACTTGGGTCACAATACGATATTATCACGATATTGCAATTTTACTATATATTTCAATACTTTTCCCAGCTATCAAAATCAAATGAATAGATACAAAAAAAGCAGGTGCTGTATATGTTCATTAGAAGATATAAATCATTTAGTTATTTTGGTATTAATGTTTTTTGGGGTTTGAGTCACTCCACTTCTTCCATTGTGAGTGCTTGAACTGCAGAAATGGCGCCGCGCTGCACAGCAAAAGAGCTCCACAGCGCTAACTGCCAGAGTGGCGGTGCAGCGGTGCCTCAGTGTTTTAGGTTAACATGTTTTATTTTTCAAAATAAATACTAAGAAGGAAAGATCGGTATTATATCTGACAGCCGAATATCGCGATATATCGCCAAAACGATTATTTCCCACACCCCTAGTCCTTTCATAGATGATTGATTCAACAGTCGTCCTCTGTCTGACGTGGGAATATTGTTTGATAGTCTTTTCCTGCTTTTAACCTACCCCACAAGTTTCTCTCTCATCTGTCTCCTGTGTTCCTTGTTTTTTTCTTCCTGATGCTATTTGTTCACTAATCCCCTCTAACAAACCTCCAAGGATTTCGCAAATAACCACTTTTGAAAAAGACGTTCTTTTTTAGCAACAGTGGCAGGAATTTGTCAGCCCACAGTGTCATTTCTCTGCAAGTCCTCATCTATTCTGGTGCCATTGTTGAATTTCTCCTGCACATGACCTGTGACAATACAAGACGTGCACACAGATGTGCACACTCACAAAGTAGATTGATACCATCTCTCACAGTCAGCCAAACCTTTTTTGAGCAACCAATCAAATAGAAGATACAATCACTGAGTTTCTTTTGCTCTCCGCTCAGATCCTCCCCTCTATTATGAAAAAAAGAAAAGAAATATGATTTGGGAGAGTGGCAGGGAGGGAGTGGAGGGGGGGTATGGAGTAGTAGGCGGGCGCCTGTCAATGCAGACGGAGGTTTCTCCAGAGAAGTCGAGACACAGGAAAAAGGAAAGTCTTCCTGTTCAGTCTGTCTCTGCCGTTCCCCCTCAGAGAGAGAGAGAGAAATCTAATTATCAAGCTCCTAAATATCTCATTATTGGCTGAGGCTCATTTGCATGTGTGAGAGTAGCGCAGCAGGAGCCAACTTGGGGGCGGCCATTTTGATCCAGATGTGTGCCACTGCACTGTGGCTTACTTTCACCTTTAGAAATGACCACATTAAATGTCTGCTTCATTTACCCCGATGTTCACTAGTCACTTTTTTCTTTGAGGATGGGAAATAATGCAGATGATGGATCAGATTTTTATGGTCTCTCTAGAGAAACACGGTGAACAAAAGAGGACAATCAAGCTGTTTTCTTTTCAGAGAACTATTTTGACAAAAACATGTTTTTATAAAGTCATGAAGGCAAAAACTTTTCACCAGTGTTGTACTAAAGTGAAATTTAAAACCTTAACTTTTTTACTTAAAGGTATAGTGGAGGACGTTATTTTTCCGGGTGGATCATCTAAATAAGTGGTCCTCCTAACTGTCAATCATTCTGGTGACGTATGTTTACGTTAGGCCATCCTTATTGCAAATCTTCCTTTGGAAAGTAAGCTTGTATGATCGATGCAAACAGCAACTTTTAAACAGAGCGTGCACAAGGAGTAATGGGCTCGTGCACGCACTCACACGAGTTTAATAGGCATTCCCTCTCAGGAGCGAGTACAGGGTTCTGCATGTGCATTTCTTTTTTAAAGTAGAGAGGGCGGGTCTTTTTTCAAAAATTCACAATAACCCTCCACTATACCTTTAAGTAAAGGAGCTCAGTGTGTACTTTATTTTGCACAGATATCAGTAATTTTAATTCACTCAGCAAATAATAGAAAACCAAGTTCATCACAAAAAAAAACAACTGTTATGTTCAATGAATTATTAAGGAGTTTGTTTACTGTTAGGGGAATGCTTGATCAGGCAAAGTAGGGGTTGTTAAAAATGTAATGAATCAGATTATATTTACCTTAAAATAATTCACAGGCTGCTAAAGCTAACCAGTATAATGGGGAAAACTGCTAATATAGGAGTTTTTGTTCTTGTTATTCTAATAAGAAAACAATGGAATGAAAAATAATTCCCTAAGTTTCCTGTTTATTCAATATCAATTAACCTTTGATTTACTAATCTAAACAGTGAATCAGATGTCACATGTATAGTATAAATAGGGTTTTTCGTTAAATTTAATATGATAGTGTTATCACAGCATTCAGTATTGACAGGTACTGAGTCGATATGATATGAGCCTGAATCATATATTATTCATTTATGTACTGTGGGATATTAAAACAAGGCTGGGTCAGGTTTTTTTTACTAAAAATTAGAACAACAGTCAACATGAATAGGTATGAAAACAACTGACCCATTTCAACCAATCAGCTATATAAACTCTAAACCATCTAAATGTTTAAATCAGAGATTTGAGATGCAGGCCGGGATTTTCTGATACTGTTATTTTATTTTAAATTTTTTTTTGCCCGATAATGCAGTTCGGATTGGGACATCTGAAATATATCTTTTAATATGATCAATGTCTTAATTTTTAACTGTGGAAAAAATATAAAAGCTGAATTTAAAATCTGTGAGTAAAAGAGATGCAGAATTTGCCAAAAATGATCACATCTGATTTTAAATCAGGCCCTAAACATAAAAACAATCCTGAATCTGTGATAGAAGCGACCTTTGACCTTTTTAATTGACCTTTAATCTGAACACTGATACAGTATGAAGGCCCAGAGTACTGTTAGGACTTTAAATAATTGTTTTTTTTTTATAACTAAAAAAATCAAACCTGCAACTAATGTCTATTTCTTTCGCCGATTAATTTGTAGATTCTTTTTTTTGATTAACTAATTAATAATTGCAAAAGTCATTTATGATTATTGCTCTGAGCAAGTTGCTCTTTTAACTAATGGCATGTTTTATGTCTCTTTGTTTGAGGTCTCTTTGTTTCTAAATTAATTGACAAATATTTCAATAGTTGATTAACCGCCATTGATGTATTATTTCAGCCCTATTAGTAATACAATAAAATCCCATTTAAAAGCAACTGAATAAGAATAAAAAACCCAATAAAAGTGATTGCATTTGCTTTGTGAGGGATCAACCACCAACACTCACTCACCCTCATGTAAATCCAACTGTGTCTGTGTGTTTATGTTGGTGCGATATGAGCTGACAGCTCAGACAACAGAGCTGTCGCTTGCATGCCCTGCAAGTGCAGAGAGGCTCTGCAGGTCAGGCAGCAACAAACAGGACAAACAAGACAGAGACGGAGCGAGTTGATGCACGGGCAGAGACGTATCTGTATGTGTGATTGGGAAAAGAGGATGAGGGGGAAGGTTGTGCTTCATTTATGTAGGAGGCGTGATATGAAGCAGGTCAACCAAATGCATGTTTGACCTGCATTTAGTCCTGTTTATGTGGAAATGCCTTCCTCAGACAAACAGGAGATCTTCCAGAGGAGGAACTGTTCATGGCGGCAACATTAGCGTATTGTCGCCTTAATTCACTTTTTAATAAAATAAAGAAACCTGCAATAAAGAATATTTCTAAACTAAATATCTTTTTTTCTTTTAGAAACGCACAAATTTTATTTCAGAGATAATGCTTCCATCATAAATCCAATTCACAGGTTCTAAGTAAAAGCCAGATTTTAATCTTCCCTTATTTGTCATTGGGAAGTCTTTGCCCATTTCCAAGAGGTCACTTGGTAACTAAAACCTTTTTTTTTGTCATCAAATACATGCAATGATTTATATTTTTACAAGTTTTATTTTTCCTTCCTCTAATTTCTTTAGCTACTGCACACAAAGACTCCCAGCCTCAGTCCCTCTCCCAGACAATGTGATGATCCATCTATTTGTTAAGTGACATAATAAAGAGAGGCGTAATGCAATAACCAGACTGCTTACTGCTCCAACAGACCTATTGCCCCACTCTCTTTATGTGAGACGCAGTAAAAAAAACTGTACAAATTTAAAGAACACACACATTTAGTAAACGGTTCAGCCTGCTGAAGTGTATTTCAGCAGGGATCCTGCACTCCGGCTAACCTCAATGTCTCCTCTTTCTGTGGTATTCAGCTCTGAAAACAGCTCGCTACCCAGAAACTACAAAAGCCTCATTCACTCAAACCAGCACACACAGGCGGAGGGAGAGAGGAAGAGAAGTAGAACACACACACACAAACAACAAGAGTGGTTTTAGGATTAATCTTTGAGGATGACTGTGGAAAAATGACGATGCAGAAGCCGGTAAATAACGTCCATGAAGTGGAGAGAGGAACTCTCAGGGTCGCCCGTCCATGTGTGTGAGCTCTGACCTGCACAGGGTTCTGCTTGACCTCGTTGCTGCCAGGGGAGTTGAGTCCAGAGGCCTGCTGGAGGAGGAACTGTCTGGCTGCCTGGAGTGCCTGCAGTAGATGAAAAAAAAAAAATCAGATGTTAATCATGTACCAAACAGCCACTTTAAGAAATATAGTTTGCGTAACAATAATGTAGTTTCATTCAATCTCTCTTCACAATTCTGCAGCAATAGAACCACAAACTTTAATCCAATTTAATGATATGTTGAGTAATAAACCAACGTACCACAAAGCACATCAAAAGGCTTTTATTTTATTTTATTTTCATGCTAATATAAAAACTGGACACTTTAATTTGAGGCAACAGATTAACAAAGATCCCTAGGATAGGGATTGAAGCCTTTCGTTGTGCTGGATGCCTCAAAGTTTCACAGATGAGCATTTCAACAGGCTTCAGACTGTCGATATGAATTAATCCTGTCTTCTAATTCTCTTTTTCTGTGTTTCTCTCTGTTTACTCCACCTTCCATAACCCCTGTCCCTCTTTCCTCTGAGGACGCCGCAAAGTGGCTTCTCCACATCCCTGGAGACAGAAGTGTGTCAGCCCGTCTTCATGCTTGCGCTGAACTGTGTTTGTGTGTTGTCACAGTGATGTAAGGAACTGCTCGGCCTGATGAGACCCGAAAGAGCTGTGTGACTAACCACTGCTCCGACTCCTCGTACCTCCTCCTCCTCCTCCCCCTGCCTGCCCTGCAGTTCTGTCCATCTACACTACGGCTCCATTTCCATTCTTCCACCCTGCTCCTGGGTGTTGCCGATTCAACCGCACCGATACTGCAAACTAAGCCATTTCCCCTGCTTTCTAAGCACATCCTTTTCTTTTTCCTTGACACTTTCCTGACGGCCCTTGCAAAGGAATTAACTAAAAAGTAAAATTATGCATCATCAGTATTTTTATTTTTATTTTTTTAACATTTCTTGTGGGAATGTTTGACCAGGCTTTTGAAAACAAAATAAGAAAACACCCATCTAATAACACCAGTGCTGTTTTTGCACGTACAGTAAGCGCACACACACACGAACACGCAAACTCAGGACGGAGGGTTAGAGAGGGGAGACAGCAGGATGCACATTTGCTTCCTGTGACTCAAAAGGGAAAGGTTCCTTAGTAAATATTGATTTATGAAAGTCCCTGAGTGTGGGTGTGGGTCTGAGAAATTAACGGACAGATTGAGAGACAGTCCATACCAACACAGAAGCTCTTACTTAACCACTAGTATCATTTCACAACTAGAAAAAACTGACTGTATCGTAGAAGTTATTGGACAAATTGTCAAATTAGAAGCTTAGGTACATTAAGTAATGTTTAATAAGAGAAAAAAGTGTGAGGGAGATTAGACATTTGGGGATGGGGGATGGGGGGGGGGGGACCAAAAGAAAGAGAGAGAGAAGTTCGCTGTGCAGCCAGAGTGATGAAAACCATCTGCAGTTAGCACACTTGCTACTTTCGTCGAGACCTTAATTGAAACTCACACAGGCGGCACACACACACACACACATTAATTTTACCACTTTAACCAAAAACAAAACAAACCAAAAAAAAAGCGGGAACAATGCCCCTCCCTTTTACTGGTTTGACCTCAGCATTAAATCAGGCACAAACTTATGCACACGTACACACAGACAAACACAACCGCCCAGTTTGTTGGCATGTGGTGTGAATTACTCCTCAAACACCCTGTCTGCCCGAGAGCCAGTCTCTCTGTGTGTGTGTGTGTGTGTGTGTGTGTCTGAGTGAGTGTATGTTGGCAGCAGTTGAGTAGGCCTGTCTGGCAACAATAAGGGACAATTCCACCCAAATTACCACCCTGATTACCACTATATTAAAGAGCCATTTATGGCTTTCATAAACACTACAACCAAAGCAGAGGTGATGCCTGTCTCCTCTCCTGTGCTTGTATCAATGGATGTGTTTATGTATATATATCCCAAAGGCAAGAATGGGTAAAAAAAAAAATTAAATAAATAAAGAGGAGGAATGTGCTTCTACCTATTTCTTTAAAAGACGCCCATTGTGGTTTTCATAAAGTATGGTAAAGCTTAGCAACTAATTAGTCAAATTTCAGTGAGGAACGAGCAAGATGTTAATGTTCTGTTTCACAAGATAAACAAAAGAGAGAAAGAATTCGCAGGATGAAGGTTCAATTATGGCTGAAAAACTAGACTTTTCCAACTATTAGCTAAACAGCTAACAATGCTAACTTTATTCACAGCAGTTAACTGTCAGTAAACCGTAACTGTGTCCTAATACCACCAGGATAAGACATAAAGTGGCTAAATGAAATTCTATATTCTATATCATTAACTTTATAGTCCAATAATTTGACATTTTTCAAATGTATACATCCATAACTGGTTACATACAAAGTTTTTATGATAAATCACGTCATCCTGCTGCAGCATTTGTTACTTTTCTCGTAAGCTATGTCTTTGCTCAATTTGTCAGTAAATATAGCATTTATGTGAATATCAACATCATATGACCGATTTAAATCACTGGTAATGCATACAATTGGTAAACAGGCAGAAGCAATTATGGTGAGCGAGTGTTGAACAATAATGGGCTGGTTATACTCCCCAGCAGTGTTCGCTTGTAGCAGGTATGATGCAGATATTTTTGATTTATGCCCAATTTTGAAGCGTAGTCTGCGCTTTGTTATTCCACGCCACAACACAAGAGGGACAATCAGGAACCAGCTAGGATTGTGGGTGTCCATGTGTCGGTTTGACCAGCTTGTTCATCGTCTACAACCCCTCATCCAACGGTGGACGACACACAGTTCACCCATGAGTGTTCCCGAAAGTCTGTCCAGGGCACTGCGTGTTACAACTGGGATAGTGTTTTAGGGTGTCAGGCATTGTGGCAGCACTACAGCCAGAGTTTATGCCGTTAGATACTAAACAGGAAATATACATAGTGTAGAGTGGATGTAGAATTTAGTGTTGCACTGATACCGATACCAGTATCGAGCGGGGAACCAAAATGGTGGTATCGGTATCAGTGAGTACCAACAAATAGGGCACCGATGCAATTTTGAGATCCAAAAGTTTATTCAACTATTGTCACCCATTCCAGGTAGGCAATAAAAAGTTCTACTGGATTCACTTTGTATTAGTCTTTTTCCTGCTTCACAAAGGTAGGCAGCAGCTTGACAAAGCCACGATGGCAATTATTTTACATCCAAGTAGTATGCAGTTCTTCAAATATATACACACACATCAATTTCACAAAGATGGTATCGGTATCAGTCGATACTGCACAGCCAGGTATCGGGTATCAGTATCGGGGCCAAAAAATGGCATTGGCGCAACACTAGTAGAATTGACCAATCAACTGCCTCCTTTCTCTCCTACTTGCAACGCTATCTGCAGCACTGTCTGCGGTCACCTACAATTTTGGGGAGGTGGAGGAGTGCTCTCTCTGTGAAAGAAAAACTAAAACAAACAGAAATGTCCGTTATCAAGTGTAAAAAGGTGCAGGAAGAGAGGTTTGATTCCAAGAGAATATAATTCAAGTTGAGCTGGGAAAACGACATGACAGTTGGAGCAAACTAAAGCTAAAGCTCAGGGAGTGTTCTGGTGTCGCTGTTAAGTTGATAGACGTGAGTACATGTCCTTGCTACTGGTTACTGGTGTTAGCAATGTTCTTTAAGCTGTTGGTTTTCATTATGGCACGATCTGAACTTATTTAGTAGCTACATCAGTGTCCAGCATTTGCCTTTCTGGTACTTCAGCAATATATTTTCAGTACGATCAACCATTTTATTGAGATTGCTAAGGTAACGGTACAATCAGATAATTTTTGCTTTTCAATCTAAATACAATCCTAAAGCTCCATTATAAAAGGGCTTTTATGAATCCAGTAAGTTACATCTACCCCTAAATGATACCAAGTTAAGTGGTAGTTTTGTGATTTAAGGATGATTGTGGTTTATTTTATTGTGACATGTTTAACTGTTGATGTTTTCTTTGTTCATCTGTCAAAAAATCTGAACACCATGAAAAGTTTGAAAACCATTGGATTAGGTTGTCATAATAAGATAAAAACAGAAGCAATAACAATAAGTCTCTGATTCCTATAAGCTTATCACTTATGGTCTGTATTTAAACATTTTATTGCGAGGTCAGATAGGGAGTAGCTTTTTGTTTGCCCCGATGTTGACAGAGTTTGATAACAAAGACTGTCTTGAAAAACACTCAATTACAGCATCAATTAAGCTCTTTTTACCTTTAAATTGTTCAGAAACATAAACGTAACTAGATGAAAAAATAAAACAAAGTAGAATTGGGGACACAACTCATTTTTTTTTAAACACTGGACAGAAAACGCATCTGGCAAATGCATATCTTGTCAAAACTGCTCACCCAAGACCTCAACTGACACCTTTAGATTGCAAGTTGCATAAACGGCAACATTTGATGAGAGGTCAAATCTGGAATAAATTAGTGAGCTGGTAGTTTTGAGGCTAAAACCACAAAGCGGGGGGGGGATTGCAGTGTTTCTATGGCAGAGCCCACACACATTATCTTGTTTAAGCTAGTTTATTCATATGGGTTCGCAACAAGTGTTTGATTCAATTGTTAATAGCTAAATAAGACCTGTTTTTTAAAAGTATAAAAGCATAAAAAAAAGGTATAACGGTTTGATGTATACACCTATGATCTCATGAACATGCACGCACAAACACACACACACATACCACCAGCAAAGACATCCACTCATGTCTACTTTGTCAAGAAGCACTTCTCTTCTTTGACCTCTCTCCTTTATTTCTGCTCCTCGCATTCACTCCTTGGCTTTTCTCTGGAGAACATCCACCCACCCACACACTGCAACACACACCCACCCTCACACCAGCTCCTTAAAGACCCCCCCCCCCCCCAAAACTCCCCTTTACCCTTGTGGCATTCTTGGGGGCGCACTGCACCTTTAAAGAAAATATGAGGGAGGCCTAAGAGGGAGGCCCAACAACAGAGTCTTTGTGCTGCCGCCGTGCGCACACACACATATGCACCCATCAGCAGTGTCAGACAGGTTTTATTAGAGC